GCTAGGTGGGCGCCTGCTGTTATGTCCTGCTCCGTGCTGGGGGCCCAGCGGGGACCTAGATGGCCCGGACCTGCCTGCCTCTCCGGGATGCACAGACCAGGGGGACCTCTCTTTTGGTCTCTTACTACCTTCTGTCTCCCCAGTGCCCCAAAAAGCTCCATGCACACAGAAGCGGCTTAATAAATGCGTTGAATGAATGAGTGACTGAGACGTATCTGTGCTTTAAACTTTAGTATTTATTCTAGCATCTTGGGCCTACTGTTCGTGGTATTTAAGAGATCACTGAGGTTAAGGGCCCTGACTCAAACCGGTGGCTCTGGCTCACATCCTGCCTTTGCCACGTCCTTGCTTTGTGACCTTGGGCCAATCACTTCACCTCTCTATGCCTTCATTTCCTCGTCTCAATAATAGGCCTCACTTTGCACGGTCATTAGGACCAAATAAGCTTGTCACGGAGATCGGCACCTGACCGGAAGTGCCAGAGAAGCGCTGACTGTTCTTGATGATTATACAAAAAGTAAAACTGTCCATTTCAGAAGTGAACGCATGGGTTGCCCCAAACATAAGACACTGGTGGATCCGTAACTTACGCAGTGGTCATCCACAGCTCACTTGGACGAATGTGACTCTTTGGAAAACAGCAAATATACACGCTTAGACTTTATTTTTGTGCAGCTCGCCCTCTATTTGCTATGACTGAGCCCGATTAAGCTACACCTTGAGTATTCATTAGTGCCAAACACAATATTTTGAAACCTCAGTACTGCCCAGCAGGAAGATGCCTCTAGCACCTCCCATCTAGAAAACCTTTAATCCCATTTCACAGTGTAGGAAACTAAATTGGCTCCGTGGAGGGGAAGTATTTTGCCCAAAGTCCCACAACCAGGAAGTGATTGGAGCTGGGTGACACTTGTGTCTGTGTCAAAGCTGCGAGCCCCAGGGGCACTCAGCACTTGAAGACTGGTTAAAAGCAGATATGAGGCATTAGGAGGGGTGATTGTCCACATGTATTCATTCCGGCAGGGTGTATATTTCTTTCTCTTCTTTCTTTCTTTCTTTCTCTTTCTTTACTTACTTTCTTTTTCTTTCTTTTTTTCTTTCTCTTATCTTTCTTTCTCTTCTTTCTTTTCTTTCTTTCTTTCTTTTCTTTTCTTTCTTTCTTTCTCCCTCTTTCTTTCTTTCTTTCTCTCTTTTTCTTCCTTTCTTTCTTTGTAAAGTCTATTTATTTTGAGAGAGAGAAACGGGGGAGGGGCAGGATCCACAGCAGGGTCCACGCTGTTCAGTGCAGAGCCAGACGAGGGGATCGTACTCCCGGTCCGTGAGATCCTGACCAGGGCCGGAACCAGGTGGCTTAACCGCTTAACTGACTGAGCCACCCAGGTGCCACTGCAGGAAGTATTTTTTAAGTTATCTAGTATGTTCCAGAATTTTAGTAGCGGTCAAGACCACTCAGGTTCTCACCCCACCGCCTACCCCCACACCGTACACACACAGTCCACAATGTGTTAGGGAACGCAGACAATGTGCAAGTAAGACTTAGCGACAGTTTCCCCCCTGCCTTCCATGCATGGCAGTTCCCAAGTTTCTTTGGTGCACTGGTGGTATCCCCCCACCCCCACCCCTAGAATGCTGCCCAGTACTTGGTGCTCCAAAAAGGTCTTTTGAACCAAGAGGTAATAGCCACCCTCCCACAGATACACCTGACCTCTCAGGAAGATGGTCTGGGGCCATGCTACTTGGAATGGGCCTGGCTGGGTGTGAAGGAAGGCGACAACAGGTCAACCCCAAAGCCCTGGGAAATCAAATGTCCAAGGTCACCGTAGGGGACATTATGGGCCCAAGTGAAAAGAGACTTGCCGTCTTTTGGGGATGACACACATCTTCCCTTTGAGAATCCCATGCAAGGTGTGAGTTCTAGGTTAAGAATTGAGTGGGCGGTGGTGAGACCCAGACAGGTTCAGCGACTTGTCCCAGGGCTACTGAGCCAGGATGGGGACCAATCCAGTATACCCAGGTGTTCCATCACCAACTGTGTCTGAGTCATCAGATGAACTTGGGGTGAGTCACTTCCAGCACCTCCATTTTCTCATCGGTCCCATGGGAGTGTAGAGTCAAGATCCCCAAATCTCCCCCTCCCCCCGCCACTTTATGATGAGAAATTTCAAACGTGGAAAAGTGGAAATACAGTGAACACCTAAAAACCCACCGCTTGGATTCGACCATCAGTATGTTCCTCTATTTGCTTTCTTACACATCTGTGCATCTACCCATCCATCAAATCCGTCTTATTTTTTGCTGTGTTGCAGAGATCAGTTTACCTCTCCCTTGACGTCATTAACCAGGTAATCCTAGCTCCCCACTCTGATGATAAATGCTCTAATGACTGTAGTATAACCCTCGGGGCCAAGTGCTGGCTCTCTTTTAAACTGCAATTTTTTTTTTTAACGTTTTTTATTTATTTTTGAGACAGAGAGAGACAGAGCATGAACGGGGGAGGGTCAGAGAGAGAGGGAGACACAGAATCGGAAGCAGGCTCCAGGCTCTGAGCCATCAGCCCAGAGCCCGACGCGGGGCTCGAACTCACGGACCGCGAGATCGTGACCTGAGCTGAAGTCGGACGCTTAACCGACTGAGCCACCCAGGCGCCCCAATTCTCTCCTTTTTTATTTATTTATTTTTTTTCTCCGTGAAGGAGAAACAGATTCAGAGAGGATAAGAAACCAGATCAAGGTCACACAGCCTGGGATTCAAACCCAGCTCTGGGTCCCCTGGGTCCAGACTTTATAAGGAGTACAGAGAGGAAGAAATGAGACGATGAATGGATATTGAAGGTCTTTGGGGGCAGTGACACAGCGGTGCACAGATGTGAAAAATTAGGACCAGAGAAGGTGCACCTACGTTTTCCTCAACCAGCAGATACGCTGTTATCTCTGGGTTCGGCTGGGCTCCTGGCACTGGGTCCTTGCTTCTTCCCAGTCCGGGACTTAATCCCATATGGGTCACAGTATCTCCTGTTTGTTAACATAAGGCTGAGCAGGTGACACACACCTGCCAAAGGGCCCAAAAACGTTTGCTGTGAGGAAAATGGCTTCTGTACGTCCTTGTAGCCACTCCACAAGCAAGCATAGCCCCCGACATTGGACCTGGGATTATCGACACCCCACCGGAGGGGCGCCTGGGTGGCTCAGTCCATGGAGCATCCAGTTCCTGATTTCCGTTCAGGTCATGAATCCCGGGTAGTGGGATCAAGATCCGCGTGGAGCCTGCTCAAGATTCTCTCTCTCCCTCTGCCCCTCTCCCCCCACCCCCCACCCCCCCTTGCGCACACTTTCTCTCTCTCTCAAAACAAAACAACCCACGGCCTCAACATGAACTTGGATTTCTGCCCTTCGTCTCAACGCTTAATGGAACTGTTTTAATCACAACCTGGCAGCTAAAAAGCCACAGCAGGAAACCTACGATTGGCTGTGGAAGGGTCCAGGACATTGGAGAACTAATCTGCCCTGTCCCAGGGTCTTGATGCTTTTTCCCACGTTCAGGACACTGACTCCACGGCCCCTTTCGATCCCAACCCTCCAGCTTGGAAAGCTCCCCTCCCCCGCAAGTACCAGGGCATTTTCTGTCCCACCCTTTCGCGCTGCTAGTCCTTCCCCACCCCATCCTCGGCTCTGCCAGCCAGACCCTAAACCCCTTTACCTCTCTAACCTCCTATCCGCCCTGCCGTCCAGCTCCTCCCTTGCAGGACCCTGACCAGTATCTGGCGTGATCTCCACCTCCCAACCGAGAGGAGTGGTGTCTCTTTTCCTTTACTTCTTTCTAAATAAGTGCTTTGTCCCTCCGAGGGTCAAAACAGTGTCCGCCGCGGCCCCTCCCTCGCACTCGCAGCTGCAAAGTCGAAAACTCTGCCGACCCGAGTTCTGCTTCTTGATCTGGGAGGATGCTGGTGCTACGGGAGTTTTTGGTTTTTCAGTCCAGCGGCACACTTACGGCCCATGCGCTTCTCTGTGGGTACGCAACACTTCAATAAACGAGAGGGAACAAAACAAGGAGGCTTGCCCAATCCTAAAACACCCTTGCGGTCCCTTCGGGTTTCGTTCAACGGGATTTGAGGGAAGAGAGTTTCCATCAAAGACCTCTCCAGGATCCGGGATAGAGCCGCCAGGCGAGGAAAGAAAAGGGGACCGGAGGGCACTGGCTCCGATCCCGCTTCTGCCGTCTGACCGCGCCCTTTAAATATGGCTCGTACGGCGCGACTGCGCTGCCCCAGCTCACGGGCCCTACTGGCCCGCTCGGAGGGCAGAAGCCAAGAGCCGCAACGAAATCAGGCAGCTGCGAGCCCAGCCCGGCCTCGGGTCCTCAGCGCGGCAAGTGCGGGGGGCGGGGCCTGACCGCCCATTGGCTCACGCCTAGGGGCGGGCCCACTGCTCCGTCCCGCCCCCAACCCCTACCGGGTTAATTGGGCCTCGCGCCTGCCCGGGGACTTATTCATCGGAGGGCGGGGCCTGGGTTTGTTTACACCCTGCCATTGGCTGGATTTGAATCGGCCCGACTGCGGGCCGGCCGCGGGGCGGGGCTCCAGAGGGCCCGGGCCCGCGCCTGACAGCTTGGGGAGGAAGGGCCCGCAGCCCGAGCGCCGGGACCCGGCAGACGGGGGTACCCTCGGCGGATGCGGCCAGCGGGGGTGGACAGGTGGAGGCTTCCGCTCTCGTTTCTCCACAAATACTAATCAAAGGCCAGGGTGCGGAGCCTTGTTTGTGTTTTCATAAACACGCTGCAGGGAAAACAAACCCGGAAACAACCTTGCTGCCCACGGATGGGGGACTCATTTAAATAAGCCGTGGCCTGACCCGTAGTGACACACGAAGTAGCCGTAAAATGAGGAAGACACGAACCGACACACAACAAGCTATGTATCCAGTCAAGAAACAAAAGCGAAGAGGGGAGCAGAGAGTGTACCGACTTAAAAGTGGGTGAAAAAAAAATACAAGCTTTTGCTTGTTAAATGCACAGAATGTGTTTGAAAGCAGCAACAACCCGGTAACAGCAGTTGTCTGTGGGGAGGAAGACAGGGCGGGTAGAGGATAGATGTTTTTGTACTGCCTTCAAGTTAGAGCCCTGTATCACCCATTCAAAGAAAGGCACGCCATGTAAATAAAAATACAGGACTGAGTTCTGAGGACCCTCCCCCTGCACCCTCCTGCCTTGGGGGAGGATGAAGAGGAAAAAAAGCCTAAGGAAGCCCCAAAGGAAAGAAGCAAAAATCAAATCTAGGAGAGGCCCCTTTAAGAAGGGAAACTTGCCTCCTCCAGAAAAATGATGTGAGGCTGTGAGGCAAGCTGAGCGCCTGGGCAGACGGGACAGTCGTCCTGGGTTTTGACTTTTATTAATACTCGTGTGTTCTGGGAGATCTAGAGAGGAAAAGAGCGACTTCCTGCAGCTAATGAGGTTTGAACTGTTAGGGTTCTTACTTCCTCTGTCTAGATCCCGTGGGGGGAGGGTTTGTGATACACTGTTAATTTGGCATGAAAGTCAAGCCTGGAGTGAAAATCTGCCCATCTGCGAATTGTGAGTAACTGCTTCACCAAGCTGGCACTCTCAGCCCTGGTCCATAGAAACAACCTCAGCGAAGGTACCAACAAACAGCCCTAGCAGGTGGGAGGTTCTAATATTTATCCCTGGTTTGCAGATGTGGAAACGGAGTCACAGAGAGCTTCCAGAACTGCCAAAGTCAGGCCCGGCAGGACCTGGAACCCAGGCAGCCCCACCCCAAAGTTCATACTTGTAACTGTTATAGTACACCTGCCCCTAAAAACTTGTGTCTTCACAGAGGTAAACTATTTTGTATCGACCTTCCACAGTAGAGAGGTTTTTGTTTTGTTTTGTTTGTAATAAAAAAATTGTAGGGGGTTCTTTCTAAAATTCTACACGGAGGCAAACTTCTAAATTTTTTTTTAAGTACATTCACAGAGGAAATGATTTGCCCTTGACCCTTTTCCCCGCCCCCCCCCCGCCCTCCATTAAACACTTACTTAATGCTTCCCGTGTATCAGGCACATTTTTAAACATTTTATGTACAGCAGCTCATTGAACCATTGCAACAACCCAGAAGTCAAAATTGTTACCACTCTCATTTCACAGATGAAGAAACTGAAGAAAAGAGGAGTTAAGTAACTGGCCCAGCGTCCCACATCTCCCTCCAGAAAAAAAGAAAAGGGACACCAAGAAGAATGGGCAGGTCATGGCTGGAGCAAGAGGAAGGTGTCCAAAATTTCTAGAGAGGGAGGAAAGAATGGGAGGTAAGATAAACCACCGGGCTGTGAACGTGGAGAAAATGGCTTTATTGGGGTGCAGTGGGGGGCCGTGGGCAGCTTGCAAAAGGTAGCGGGAAATGGCCGACAAGTGCACGAAAAGGTTCTCGAAAGTCATCAGGGAGATGCAAATCAAAACCACAGCGAGACGCAGATTCACACTCACGGGAATGGCCGCAATGATAAAAGGGGACAAGAACAGGGGTTGGCACGGATGTGGTGAAATCAGAACCCTCATACGCCGCTGGTGGGCAAACTGGTGTAGCCAAAATGGAAACCAGTTTCGAGTTTCCGCAGTCAAGTTGCACAAAGAATTGCCATGCACCGACTCCTACGTATATACCCCCCAAAAAAGTGAAAACAGGAATTCAGAAATAACTTGTGCAAAGGGGCGCCTGGGTGGCTCGGTCGGTTAAGCGGTCGACTTCGGCTCAGGTCATGATCTCGCGGTTCGTGGGTTCGAGCCCCGCGTCCGGCTCTGTGCTGCCAGCTCAGAGCCTGGGGCCCGCTTCGGATTCTGCGTCTCCTTCTCTCTCTGCCCCTCCCCCACTTGTGCTCTGTCTCTCTCTATCAAAAGTAAATAAATCTAAAAAAAATTTTTTTTTTTAATTTAAGAAAATGAAAATAGGGGCGCCTGGGTGGCGCAGTCGGTTAAGCGTCCGACTTCAGCCAGGTCACGATCTCGCGCTCCATGAGTTCGAGCCCCGCGTCAGGCTCTGGGCTGACGGCTCGGAGCCTGGAGCCTGTTTCCGATTCTGT